ATGAAACCGCGGTCGAGACGATCATAAAGCTTGAAAATGTTGAAGAAGGAGATGGGGGTTGCTGTTCAATTTGTCTAGAAGAGTTCAAGATTGGCCACGAGCTTATGTGCATAAAGAAGTGTAGGCATGTTTTTCATCGCTTTTGTATTCATTCTTGGTTTGATACAAATCGGAACTGTCCAATTTGTCGTTGTTCTGTTGATTGATGCCAAATAGAGGAGAGACTATAGTTGAGTTTTGTACCCGTTGAGATCGACTTTTGTTTCAAAAATTTTATAGATTTAAGTATATACAAAACTATCTATAACAGAGATAATAACCAAAGAGTTTACATGTTAAAAGTTTGAAGCGAGTCATGTGATCTATTATTCAATATACGTGTTTATCTTCTTCCTCTGGTTTCAAACCTTTTTTCTTTTGTAGTTTCTTAGTTTGCAAGCATTTTCTCTACTATGATTTGAAAATTTTAGAACCCTTAGAAATCAAAAACAAATAAAGAAAAATAATCATGAAAATTGTTATTATGCTAACAATTATAAATTACAATATGAAAAGTACCAATATAGACAAAACGAATATTCAGATAATATATAGTAAACTACCATATCTAAAATATGTGTTTATCTCGTAATAAAGACTCATCTCTAGATATATACAAATGTACAAGAAAAAAAAAAAAGGAAGATAAATTTAAATGAAAGTTGATAATGATTCTCATTATGGATACGAAACAATTGCTTCAGCTACAACTCCAAATTTGATCTCTCTGGTGGAAAAGTAATATTAGGATGATAGAATCTATGCCCTTGCTGGATTTGCTTTCAATATGGTTCTTTCCATGGGCCATTGTATTATCCTTCTTCATCTTTTATATATGTATCATCTTTTACAACAAATGTACTCATCCATCACTTCCTCCTCTGCCTCTGCCTCAGCCTCTGCCTCAGCCTTTACCTCAGCAAGACATTGAAACCGGACATCTAGCGCCGCTACCTCAGCAAGACATTGAAACCGGACATCTAGCGCCGCTTCAGTCTCAACTAGAATATAAAACCGGTTATAGGGCACGGATCGAGGAAATGGAGTTTAAAGATATTGAAAAAGAAGGGTTTGATGAGATTTCTTGTTCAATTTGTCTTGAAGAGTTAGAAGATGGCCATGAGATTATCCGTATCAAGAAGTGTAAACATGTTTTCCATCGCTCTTGTATTGATTCTTGGCTGAAACAGAATCGAAACTGCCCGAATTGTCGATGTTTTTAATTAGGGTTTACTTTTTATCTCATTAAATCGATTTATTTCATAACTGTTTTAGTTTCCGAATATTTAGCAAACTATTGAATCAATTATTTGGATGCTTTCAAATCTGATGCAGCATTATTCTCGGGCTTTACGTTGGTGTTTTTGGACTTTGATCCGTTTGGGTTATTAGCTTATTTTGGTTTTAATTGTTGTTTATATTTTTTTTTTTGAAGGGATTAGGATAAGAAAGTTGTTTAGGGTTCTTGTAGCTCGTCTCATACGCGAGATTTAGGGTTCTAGCAGGCAAGATTAAGCAGATCCTTAGGGCTCAGAATATCTTGTCCGTGACGCTACGTTATTGCTCTATCAAAATCTTAGGAAGATTTTTTTTTTGTTTGGTCAAAATCTTAGGAAGATCTAAAATCATTTACGTAATTTTTGTAGAATTGCTGTTACAACTTAAATGAATGATAAAAAATAGAAATTTCAGGGCATTTGAAAAGCTAAACAATTGAAAATGAAATCTCATTTTCTAGAATAACATGTCGATCTTCTTCTCTAACGAAGTCATTATCAAGTGACACAAATCGCAAGTCATGTATGCTAATATAATGTTTATACATTTTGGCTACTGGTCGAGATTGTTTTATAGACATTTCTGATATCATTCTCCAGAAAAGGATAAAGATATGAAATATAATAAGGAGATGCGGCATTCAAACCTGCCCTCTTACTCAATGAACTGAGCAATCTCAGTATGTTTTCAAAAGAAATGTTTGCGGCAGTTCCATCAGTACATCGAGAATCCCGCCAAAACAGGGGAAACAAACAGAGAGAGAGAGAGAGAGACATGCTTCGGCTAATAGACCAAACCTTGTAGCAACTCTATATATTACTTAAGATGCAACATTTAGAATAATAAGAAGTCAACAAACTTTCTAAAACTCGATATACAGTTAAGGCCTTAGTGTTTGGAATTGAATAGAAATTTTGTAAGTCGAGTTTCGTGGTTTTGACAAGCATATATCAACTTCTTGATGTAGTTACGCTGGCATAGTTTTGCAACGAAACCAACTGTGGATGAGATCATCAAAAAGATACCTTGGAGAACCTACATAACTAGATATCTTGAATTATTATCTAGATACCTTAGTTTCAAATGGATCTTCTCTTGTGGAGACAACAAACCAAGCCAACGCCACAGTTTTTGTATGCTATTCATAGCCTAGGATTTGATAACCGCAACGGTTTGTGGATGCCTAAACGCCGGCTAACCAAAAGTTTTGCACTCTGCATCTTACCCTTTCTTGGTATAATCTCTTAACTCTGATTACAACCCTCGAGAATGAATCACAAACAGTACGAGGAACAATATTGGTACAAGGAACATTTGAACTTAGAGATATTCTCTTGAAAATTGTCCACGAGAACCTTACCAATATAGTTCCTCGTACTGTTTGTGATTCCACTTCTCGTATCTTGTTGCATTGAAAACATTTCTTTTCATGACATAATGTATTATTTTTTTCCAAGAAAGCACATCTTTGTTTAGGCGGTTGAATGGAATTTACGTTTTCACCTGTTATGGAAAATTATACAATCACATGTTAAGACATTATTCATATACATCAAAAGCTGAAACCCCGTAAAGTTGTAGCGGTTTTTTGTAGTTGGTTCTAAAAAGGAAAAATCATGACCAGATTTTATTCTGTTTTCTTCTTACCTGGCGTCCAAATGGCTAACAAGTAGGGAACTAAATCCTCAGGTTCTGGCCTCTCAAACTGTAAAAAAAGATATCAAACAGTTTTTAAGACGTGGAGAAGTAGAACAATTCTTGCTAAATCAAAAAAGATATCAAAACTGCTTTGATTGATTGTAACAACATGCTGCAAATTGTAATGATGAAGGCCAATCCTAGCAAAAAAGACTGACTAAGCCACAACAAGGTGACCACCGATCATCACAGATGAATTTGATGATTCTAAGATCCTTGGTATCGAACCCCTAAGATCCATTCAATGATCTCTAGATCTAGTCAAAACCCTAATCTATCAAACAAAACTCTTGCCAAAATACATTATATGAGAAGATGAAAAAGTTACCTCGTATTTCTTCAAACGTTTCATACATTTCGACCTCTAACGAAAGTTATGATCCAAAGCCTCTTTGCATTCAATCCGCAGCGACATCGTCGTCTCCATCCTGAAGCTTGTGTGGTAAGAAATAAGGAACCTTAGAAGCGAGCGGCTGATGCTTTTAACGATTTAGGTTTTAAGTTTTGACCATGCGATTATATATCCCCTTGTCCATCAGGCCGACTCATTTTCTGGGCTTTCTGTTGGGCTTCACAACCCTTATCGATAATGTCATTTTCTGGGCTTTTTCCTCCACACATGATAGATCATGGCTTATAAGTTATAACAATAGCCGGATTATATTGGAGTTTGTCTACATCATTTCCTTAATTTCTCTAGAATTCTTTTGAATAGATATTTATACATAAAATTTTGGTATATATATTATCTTTCAGAATTAAAAACAAAGCCATTTTATAAGACTTGTTCGACATCTCGTAAAGTGGAATTTAGTAAAGGTTTTTTTGGTTGAAGGAGCCAAAATGAGACATATGAACCATAAATCATTAATGTTTGAAATTTTGGCTTCAAATTTGAATTATTGACCGCGACGAGTATATATACAATCTTAGATTTAGACATATGTTTTCTGAATTTTAGTTTAAATTAGACAGTAAAGTTTCTTTAAAATGTCAATGTATATTGCATTTTGGAAAGAGACGTACCCTTATCGATAATTTTTGATATTATCAACGCTTAATTAATCTCGTGTTTAAGAGACTGTAGATGTTTGAATAAGACTATAGGATACATAAGTCTATCTGTATTTTGTGTCAAAATGTTATTATAATCACTCGTGAAATGTGTACATAACTATATATATACGGAGTGTACACGTGAATGTTATCGACCGAGATGGTCCAATAGTCAGTTTGTTGTTTCTTTATTATGTTTGTCGTCAACTTTATCTTATTAGGTTTTTTCATTAATAACACAAAGACCATACACACTCTCTAAGTCTCTACATATATAAATACGATGGTCTAGTAAGTCGTATCTATTCGATTCCAAATCCGTATAATGCATGTTAACTACACAAATTTCATTCGTCCAATATATGTTTGTGTGAAATCTATTTATGTGCATATTATACACACATTCAATTTTATTTGTATCATGTACGTACAAGATTGTGATTTACGAACACTCTTAATATGTGTTAACTTGTACGTGTGCACTTGTTCTATTAAAACAAACTTAAAAAAAAACTAGATATCCATTTATTGTTCTAAATTTTAAACCAAATTTATAAGAAATTTTTTTTTTTAAAGAAATTGAATATTTCCAAATAGTTTGAGATGGTCCTAGAATATGAAAACAGATTTGAAAAGACACTTGATAATATTTCCTTAACAAAAAAAAAAACAAATTGTATGATTTACATCAAGAAAAAAGTATTAGATTGAGAAAAACAAAACGTCTCAATAATATATTTTTAAAAAACAAAATGAAAATATCCTACATGTGATATTGACGAACCAACTAACTCATACATTAATATATCTCCGTGTCCACCAATCCCCCAATCCAATCAGACAACGGTTTATATAAAATATCTAATTTGGTTTTTATCTAACTAAACCGTTACATAACCGAATCGGTTTTGAAAAATATGTTTCGATATTTTGGTCCTAATCTTTTAATTTTAAACAATATCATGAAGTAATTGAGCTCCCATCAAATTCCTATAAGGCAAATTCTGAACTTGATCATCATCTAACATCGACGCTGAATATTGAACCGGTCCTTCTTCAATGTGATCTCTACCGTAGAAAAGTTGGCCACCTTGAGCCGTCACCGGAGACAACGCTAAACTCACACCACCGTTATTACCATCGTTACGCTGTAGCCCAAGCGTCAACGACACGTCACCACGTGGCCCTCCTTCACCAGCATATGTAACAGCTTGGTTACCGTACAAGGAGAAGTCAAACGTTGACCCCAACGACGTCGTTCCATGGTTTGAGTTGTGACCGGTTTTGGATGTAGGGTTTGTCACTATTGAAGATAAAGATTCCGGTTCGACACGGATTAACTGGTTCGGGTCCGGTTTAGTATCGATCATCATCGGGTTTGTAATCTCCATTTGTTCACCTCTTGTTTCTTCACAGTACATTTCTTCAATCATTGGTTTCCATAGCCTAACTCTTGCATTAATGAACCAATTTGATACCTAACAATTTTGGTTTATTATAACTTTAGTAAATTGGATAATAAATTTTGGAATATATCAAGAATTAGTGGAGTTATTCTTTTACCTGACTTCTTGATAAACCAGTTTGTCGGGCCAATATATGCTTATCAACATCGCTTGGATATCTGAAAATAAAAAATAAGAAAAACTTACTTTATGGATATGTAATTAAAAAGGATATAAATGATTGAAGAATGATGCAAAGAAATGGAAGCAAAGGTAAAGGGTTTGGTGAAAACTAACAAAATGTTTCATTGTTTGAGCAGTGTTTGGGAATTGATGGAGACAAGTCTTACATATGATGATAAACATATAACTTCTGAAAATAAAATAAAATAAAAAAAGAAAAAGTAGAAGAAAAAAAAACACATGGAGAAAAAAGCAAAGAGTTATGCATAGTTTCTTTCTTTTGTTAGTGTTAGGTAAAGAACATTGATTCTCTCTCTCAATCCACTTTGTACCTTTCTCTATTTCTGTCTTTCATCCACCAGTTAAATTTATTTTTATTTATTTATTACATGTTTTTATACATATATACATGTGTGTATGTATATGTTTGTACACTCACTTTCACACCAATGATGCTAGTGAAAGAAAAAGGAAAATAAAAAAGCTATATGCAATTAACAGATTAAGGTAGATTGTATCCTATGCTTGTCAAGTCAATCTCAATCTCTCTATATAAAATGTATTTATCTTCTTTTTTTTTTTACTTTTATATGTTCACAAATATTCATGTAAGAAAAAACCCTATATATACTATTTATCAATGCTTCATACTTTCAATAAAACAAAATCGTTAGAGGTTTTATATCTATAAATATAACTTTCAAACTAGCTTAACTCTTGTGATTCTACATTCATTAATTAGTCACTTAAAAAGACACAAGTTATATGATTATAAAAGACGCGTTTTCATGGGATTTTAAGAGGGTGTGTATGAAATAACTTACGGGTGAAGAAAGTGTTCAAAGAGCCAAGCTCTCAACGTTGTGACTGCGCGTTCAGGCAAACCGCGTTGTGGACGCCAAGGATGAGCGTCGACGAGAGTCATTTGGCGATACGATTTCTGTTGCCGCAAAGCTTGATCAAGCAATCTCAACCGTGGAGTTTCTCCACGTGCAGCAATCGAAACCGCACGATTATCCTCTTCTCTCTCTCCCAAAGCTTGACTTGTTGCTTGAATCTGTCCCACAAGTCCGTCTTTTAAACACCGAAAATGTCTTGACATTGCCCTTGACGCTAACGCAGTATATATCTCTGCCGATCCTACTCCAACCGCGGCTTCAAACGCTGCCGCCGCAACTCTCATTTGCTCTCGGTAATGTCCATATCTTCTTTTAAGCTGCCAAAGAAAACGTAACAAAACGTTACCCCACACCATTCACAAAGATTTCAATCACATCGTATAAATGTAGATTCATAGAATGAGTAAATTCATGAAAAAGAAACAACTCGTTATGGCTTATGATGATGAAACTGATTGCTATTAATATGGAGGACCACTAGAGTCTCCAAATTAGATCAAGCAACGAAAATAAATTTAATTTTGGTTCTATAGAAAAAAGAAATAACGAGTAAAGGAATTTAAAAGGGTTGATATCTTTTCGTAGTGATACGATCGAACTTGTTTTTGACGAGAATAGATGAAAGAATGAAGACAAAAAGGAATCTTTTTATCTTTATATCTAAAAGAAATTTGTAACTTTAAGAAATATATGGACCTTAATCAAGAATCGAAAAAACACAAGATTTTTGGCTATTTTACATATTTAGGAATAAGTTGAAACCAAATGAAAAAAAAAAAAGATTTAGATATTTTTAAAAACCCATGTAACGTTTTGACACAAGATTTGTGGGTATTTTACATTTTTAGGAATAAGTTGAAACCAAATAAAAAAAGATTAGATTTTCTAAGATACCCATGAAATGTTTTGATAGTAATAAAATAATTTCTTGAAAATATATATATACCTCTTCGAGCATGGAGAGCAACTTGGCTTTTCTTTTCTGAAGTTCCATGAACTCAAGAGAGTGAAGTGGAGGAACATGTTTTTTTGAAGAAGTAGTTGCAGATTGGTCATGTTGATCATTGTTGTTGTGATGACTTGTGTCCCACTCTTCTTGTTGTTTACCCTTTTGCTTCTTCTTATGCTTCATCATCATCACTTCTTCATCACTTTCCTTTACTCCAAGACTGCAAAACTCACTTAGTAGCTCTTGAGCTGGAGTCAAATACTTGGAACTCCCAATCTGAAACTGATGATGATGATTGTTGTTGTTGTTGTGTTGGTGGTGACTATTCATCATCATCATCATCATCTGGGTGTGTTGGAGATTCTGATGATGTGTTGATTTACCGGAATACCCTTGTTGTTGTTGTTGGGGTCTGAGTTCGAAAGATTGGAGACTGATGCTTGTAGGATTTGAAGAGGAGAGAGAAAGGGAAAGACCTTGGCTTGGTCTTTGTGGTGGTCTCTCATCATTTACTTCACTTGGGAAATCATTATTAACATTGCATAGTCTCATGGTAGATGAAGAATCTTCCAGAAGCTGATTCTGATCAGTACCACCACTTGTCTGATGATGATGATGATGATGATCCGGACCACTTGTCATCCTAATCTGTTGTTGCTTGGAGAAGTCTATCATCATACCCATGTTGGAGTTTGAGCCAAAGATCTGATGATTATAATGATGATGATGATCGGTTGGGTTTTGGTTTGTCTCATCAAACCCTTGGATCTGATTAATCATTTGATGTTGTTGCTCTTGATGATGATGGTTATTGTGACCATAGAACTGATCTCTTGCCATGTCTCTCAAGAATTAAAAACCCAAAAAGAAGAGAAGAAAAAAGAAAACTCTTTTTGGGACAAAAACAGAAGTTTCATTAAGATCTACAAGAACCCATCTCCAAGATAAAGTTAAAAAGAATCAATAAACAAAATAGAAAGGCAAATCTTTTTCATACCCTGAGTCGCCAAATCATGAGAAAAGAGAGCCAAAGAAAACTACAAAACTTTGTATCAGAACCAAGACAATAGAGATAGCTCCTAAAACCCTACAAGAAAGTAGTTTGCATAAAGATGTGTGAATTATTTTTCTTCTTATTCTTTAGGTGAAGAGGGAGAGAGAAAAGAGATTATAGGAGAAGAAGATAGACGAAGAAGAATAAAAGAATTAAACAGAAGAGATATAACAGAGAGAGAGAGAGAAGAAAAGAGATTGTGTGGCTTCACCTCTCTCTTTTGTTTTGTACTTTGACAAAATTTAATTTTTCTTTTAGTATGGGTCTGTAAATTGTACTACATGCAAAAAAATGGTTAAAAAATTAAAAAAATGAAAAAGAAAAAAACCTAGGAAGAGAAAAAATCAGATGGGTATCTCTTCAGAGATCAGAAGATAGGTGATCATGACCCTCCCATAGAGTCTATAGCTAGCCATCAATGTTTTTAATCTCTCTCTCTATATGTATATATATCACAAGTGGGTCAAAATGCTTTACTATTTTCAAAAGAAATATTATATCATTTTTTTATTATTTTTTTCCGAATAGAAAATGCCTCTCAATTATACATTTTGTGTATTTTGGTATACGTGAGTCATAAACATAATGAAATTAATATATGGTTTATATTATTCTTCTTCTTTGACGTCGTATTAGTAGTCTGACCAAGAAAATACTACAGGTGTCTCCCTCTATTCTTTATTTTCTTCCTTCAATTATTAATTAAGAACCTACTAATTTGAAAAATTAATTTACAAGAAAATTCAAAGAGGATGATACGTGATAATGATATGTATACGTACATTGGTCCAGTGATTTGAAAAAAAAAATGATTGGAACAAATAATTAAATTAAACTAATGTGAAAAATAAGAGAACCTTTGCCGGGTACACAAACTAGTTACAAGCCGTCGTCATATGACATCTCTACGTTGATTTAATTATTTATTAAACATATTTTAGTATTTAAATGCTCATATATATGTGTATTTAGTATTTTGATTTTAATTGCTAAACCTATACGTGTAATATGGGTGTGTATGTAGATATGTGTAGTGTATAATATGGGAAAAACGGTCTATTTCTCCACGAGAAGTATCGCATCATAACAGATAGAGCCCATTCTTTGACTCCGGTCTATATCTCCATGAAATTAAAGTTCTATTCCTATTTCTCCCCGAATCAAAAGTTTTAAAACTAAATGTCGCCGAGTCAAAAGTTTGAGAGCTAAAACACCACGGAACTGGATTTAATCGGTTTATTGTATACAAACCCGATAAACAAACCAACTAAACCTAATTATAACCGGAGTAAACCCGATTTTACTCGTTCACATAATAATTTGATCAGATAAAAACTATATCAAGCATGAACCAGTTAGTTTCATAGAGCTCAAACAGAACCATATCTCACAAACAATGGTAGACACAAATATGTCCGTAATTAACAAATCGAATAAACCCAAAGGTAGATCTTGATGATTCAAATCAAAATCTAAAGCCAATTCTCTACTTTTTAAAACAATCAAGACTTTACCGGAAGATCCAAATCCGATTATGTTCTGTTCATCGAGACATCTAGCTATCTCGTCTTCACTGAAATGAAGCTTGTGGAAGGATCTCCATTTACGCACGGCTAAATTAGAGCTCTTCAAAGCTCTGAGTTTTCTGCACTTGGCAATGAACATAACGATCCCGACTACGAAAACCAAACCGGCGAGTAAGAAAATCGTTAAGAGAATCCAAACATAACCAATGTTTTTAGACCGTGTGATCTTCCACAAAAGACCGTCGAGATCGACACACAATCCAGGATTTCCGATGAAGTCGTGTGCGTAGATTTAATTCGCGTACAAGGGAGGAATTTTGCTGGGGAGGTGATTATATGAAATATTTAAAACGTTTAGCATGAAAGCTTGTTGTTAATCAATCGAACCCAAGTCAAGCTCTTGCATTTTCGGAGATTAGTGGAGATAATTTTCTATTTACAATGAATTTATGCAATGGGATTTTTTAATTTTGATATCAAATTTATCAAAATTGTTTGAAGAATCAGGTGAAGAAGAAGAAGATATCCCATCGGATCATTTACGGGTCGGTCATATTTTAATTCGGTTTTAAATCAAATTTTAGTGGTTTGGTATTAGGTTTACTTTGGTTTTAAAGTGCAAACCGATATAACCCAGATCTGGGGACATTTAGCTTTAAAATTTTCGATTCGGGGAGAAATAGGAATAGAACTTTAGTTTCATGGAGATATAGACCGGGGTCAAATAATGGGCTCTATCTGTTATGATGCGATACTTCTCGTGGGGAAATAGACCGTTTTTCCGTATAATATGTTATCTAAGAAAATGATATCAATTTCGGTGTTGTTACTTTCGTTTGCTAGCTATGTAAGCAACATTTGTTATTAAATAAATATTTTAGCAACTACTTTTTAAACATTTTTTTGAAGCATAGCGTCTCTCAAGCAATGACGATGATTTAATAATTTAACAAAATAATATTCTATATCTAGCCAACCAGTCACGTGAATGTACAAATTTAACTACTATTTTGTACAAACGGTATCCCTTTCTATACATAAATAATCGCAATATATAATACACGTATGCCTCTGCCTATTTTGCTCCTAAAATATTATCAGCTTTATAACAAAATTATTTGATGACAAGTTAATTAAATGAAAATGAGTTATTATGGAAGGTGTACCAAGATTAATTTCGCCAGAAGAATCTGCTCGTAAATATGAGAAAACTCTATCTAGACAGTTAAAGTTATAATTTCTTCGTCAAAATATAACTAATTACCCTAGGGTCTAAATGGTAACCGAGGAATCTAGCTGAATCTGGCTGAATTGCTGAATCTGGCTGAATATATTTGTGTTTTTCTGTGGAATCTTGCTGAATAATTTAAAATTCAAATGGTAACTGCTGAATCTGGCTGAATTTTTTAAAAAAATTAAGTAGAGAAATGTTTCGCCGAAACCAAACCGAAACTGACAAAAAAAACAAATGGATCTTAAATTTCATTACCGAAAAAACCGGAACCAAAATATTTTGGATACCTGAATGAAACCAAAATACAATTATATGTCTAAAATATTATAGTCAGCTTTATACTAACTAATAAAAAAATAAATAACCAAAATATTCTATACACTAAAAGTATCCGAAAATTTCCCGATAATATCTGAAATGTTATTTTGGTAAGAACCGGAACAAAAAAATATTTGAATTTTTTTTTGTTCCTAATCGGTTCTTGATTCGAAAAACCAAAATGCTCCGAAATACTCGGAACCGAACCAAATTTTAACCAAAATTCTAAAATAATTGAATGTATACTAAACTCGAAAACTGAAATATCTAAAACCAAAAATTACAAAATTGAAACCGAACCAAATACTCGAACATCCAAGACTATCCACAAAATAAATAAATAAAACATAAACTATCAATAAAATATTAATTAGTTCTTTAAAAATCCACAAAAAGTTATTAGTTCCTAAAAACAAACTTCAAAATACATTTATTAATGAAATGCATCACATATTTTTTTTTTAATTCTCTCTAATAATGTTTTGCTTGTTTTCTATTTTTTGAAAATTTGATTAATTCAATAAATGAAAGAGTCAAGTGGGACCACTACGACAACAGATCAAAAATTCCACAACAATTCAACATATACAAATGATGTAACATGTATTTTTTTCCACAGGAATTCCTCAATAATTCCACAAATACATGTTACCATTTACAGCCCTAGTAAGATAATTATTATATATTGGTTGTCATAAAGTAAGATAATAAATTATTTGATGTATTTTTTGGAGAAATTAACATACCAATAGATATATGTATAGTAAATAAATGAAAGAGAACGAATCCCAAGAAATCAAACCAGAAGTAGGAGTTGAGTTCAGGCTTTTCTCAGATATGACTCAGTGTCACTTCTCCTCTGTTTAACAATTACCTTATGGTTGACAAAAAAAAAAAAAAAACAATTACCATATCAATATCATAAATAAATTAAATATATAAACATTTTAATAGCAATTATAATAGACTAACTATTGTAGTCCCGTGTAAATTAGCGAGTAATACAACACAAATGGACTGGTGTCATTATTTGACTTGCACTTTGCACAGTACGTGACAGAGATTGTGTAGTATTAGATTGACGATATATTTAATTATACATTTAACAAAAAGCTATATATATATATATATATATATTCAATATACGATAGGGGTTGATTTTTAAAATACGTTGTTAATCTGTCACTAACTAATTGAGAAAATACAAAAAAACGGTCCTTCCGTCACTAAATTGTACAAACTTGTTAGTAACTTCTAAAGCCAAGAAGTTATATGAGGATTTAATCGTTATTTTATTAAATTCCATTTAATACGTATGTAAAAGAAAAACAAAAATTCAAACTTTTTTTAAAACATTGTTGACATACAAAATCAAATGTTCAAATTTTAAATAAATGTTGACATAGAAAAATATTTAGTCGTTCTTCTGTTTGGCATATGTTTTATTAATTGTTGTAAAAATAGTGTTTAATTGCAAAATTTGAAAATTTCTCTCTTTAGGATTTAGATATGCGACATCTTAACATTCAAACCATAAGTCAAACGCCACATTATGAAAAAACGTATAATTAACTGAAGTTTCAAAAACATATTAATTAA